AAACACGGCAATGCAAGCTAAAACAAGATCGCTGCAGCAGGCTCGTAATTGCTTTTCTTGGAAACTTCATTGCAGGTACTTAAACAAAAAGCGCTCTGATATCCAAAGTCGCAAAAAAGTCGCTTCGTTCGGGTTTAATCCGTGTATTGAACCAGCGTTCCAGATTTAACTATAAATATATGAACACATATGTACAACACACAAATATATGTAGAAGCACACACAATACACGCACACGTCTTCTCTATCACAAAGTTTTGTAACCACGCGCACACTCGTCACACTATTTGTATCAACTGCCTGTAAGCATTGTATCCTCTTACAACAATGCACGCAGAGGTGACTGCACGAATGAACTCTCATTGCAGGTACTTACACAAAAAGCGCTCCGATATCCAAAGTCGCAAAAAGTCGCCGAATTTTTTATTTCACTGATTTTCCTAAAACTTATATTACTGTCAGATGCAAAAATCAGATTGGACAAATTTGGACATTTTTACTTACACTTATTTTATTTTTTTTTCTACATAGTAAGTTTATCTACAATCTATGATATTTCCATATAAATAATTACATTTTAGCTCATTTGTGGCACAGTACAGCGGCGGGCCGGATGAATTGACCTCGCGGGCCGTAGTTTGGTGACCACTGATCTACTATATAAAGACGGAAAGCCGTATGTCTGTCGTTGCGGTAACGATCGACACGCCACTTGCATGAAACGACGGCACTTTCTGCCGCGACAAGAAAGTACGTGTTTTAAAAATTTTTTCTACAATATTTATAAATAACGAACGATATGCTACTTTGGGCATATAATTATATTTACATATAGTTATAGCTCTTTGACTAAAGATGTCACCCACCATTCAGAGGTTATGAAGAATTCAAGGTAATTTCAATATTGCACCGAAATGAAGGTTTATTTTGAGATAATTTAATTAAATATTTCAATCCATTCGTGTTATTCATAATTCAAGAAAAGATATTTGATTGTTTATCGGGAATAAAAGGAAAGACCATTTAATTTTTCAAAAAAGTGAAGTCAGAGTTTTCAGGTATTGTGATGAATTAGTTCATTTTGTTGTGTTCTTTCCTCTTAAACCTTCTACAAATAAGAAACAGTAACACTTTATTTTTCTTTGAATTACCTACCATAACGAAGGCACAATATTGATAAATGCTTCAAGATCTTGTTTTTGTCATCTAACGCTTTTTAATGAAGATGGGAACATTGACAGGGAAATAGATTTAAACGAAGAAGTTTCGTAAAGAGCGTGAACGGTAATGTGATGCAAAATTACCTAGAAATTTTCGTAAAAGT